GAGAGCCTATGTTTGTGCTTTATACTTGTCCCTACCCGAGAGGTGGCTTGGGGGCTTGATTTGGTTTGTTCTAGGCCCTCACCCGAGAACTTGTCTTGGTGTGTTGGGTTGTTCTTATTAGAGAGCTGCCGGATGGTTTCCTACTCCTATCCGTGAAACATATTGAGGGTTGTTTAATTTGATTTGGTCTTTCTTGTTGGGCTTGAATTACTTGGATGATTGTTGGTGGATCAAATTTGTCATCCCAAAATTATGGTTATATTTTGTATTCTCTTATGTATATCAAAGATCCTCGTGGAATTGATTTGGGTTGCCTTGGCCGTGAGCCTTTCTTGTGCCTTGGGTTGCCTTGGCCGTGAGCCTTCCTTGTGCCTTGGGTTGCCTTAGCCGCGAGCCTCTTTTGGCCCTATTTCTTGCCTTTTGCCTTAGCCGTGAGCTCCTTGTGAGCTCCTTGTTCTGTTGGTGGTCTTGGCCGAGAGCCTTGGTGGCTGCTTCCTCTTCTCTATTGACCCCGGCCTTGAGTATTTATGTGGCTTTATTGTAAGGTTCTATGTTTATTTGGTATGTGAAGCTATTGATTAATTTGGGGGTTGGAAAATCTTAATTTTAGCATGAGTTTGGAGGTGCTGATGGTAGTCTTTCCCAGATCACTTTCCTTTTGTTCCATTCATGGAATTTAGAGGATTTTCAAGTCCTATTTGGGAGAGCATTTGGTTGAATTGAATTGAGCCCATGGAAGATTTTTTTTTTTTGAGGTTAGACACCAATATCGGGGAGGTTATTTGTGGGTGATCGTCGTGTCGGTTCGGGCCCGTTTCGACTCGTTCGAGACAGGATTTGGAAAGGACACCCTCTTTGGGTTGATCCAATTCTAACAAAGCGAGAAAATAACATCCTTTCAGATTGATTCAAGGACCTTGGGCCCTACATTCTCAGGTCTTTTCTTTACGAGTTTTGAGGGCTGATTCATCCTCCGTCTTTTCGGTGTTTTAGGTGGATCGGTGTCTCCTCTCTCTCACCCCACTTTTATTTTTTTTCCTTGTTTCTTGGTTCAGTTTTTGATGCTTATGTCCGATACATAAGTGTCCACGTATAGCCTTTTGCTATACGTGAAACCATCAAATAAGGTCGCAAGTAGATCAATTTTGTTTTGGGGCTTAGGGCGGTGATGACAAAGGCACACCAGTGGTAGAGCGAAATGATATTCCATCCTACGACATCGGGACACCCCCACAGACCCGGTGAACCATAGGATGTAATATGATTCACCGACAGAAGACTAGCGGGAGTTGACCCGTACCTTCTTAGGTTGTTGGTAGGCCTATGCTCGACAGCGTGATCGACTCGTGGACAACTACACTTTTCAAAACTAATAAAAACAAACAACTAATGAAAACAAATTTGATAAGAACGGATACACCTTTTTTTTTAAACAAAAATATATTTTTCGCTACAAACAAAATTGATACAACCCACTTTGTATGCTTGAAACCTATGTGCATGCTTAAAATATAAATTTTAAATACTTTTTAAAATTTGGTTGTCCACCTATTGATCACCTGCTTTAGGCCAAGGAGTACCCTCCTAAGTTAGGTTCAGTAGGACTCCCTTCTAGTTGTGTGGCGGGCTTTATATATCCAGGTAACCGAGTAGCCTTCGACGACTCTCGAGTACAAATATATATTTGAGTCTAGCCCTACCCGAGTGTTTGCGGTCCCCTCTTTTCGGATTTTTTCATGTCTTACTGAAACTTTTGGACAAAGCACTCGTGGTTTTTTTATGAGATTTTCCCGTATTTTCTATGATTTTCATCGATTTATCGATTCGTCGGTTTCCTCGTACTTTTCCTGTCGTGAGTCTTTTGACGATCTTTCTCGAGTTTTTTGGACGATGTTTCTTTTCTTCATTAGCTTTTATTTATATGATGCATTTCGGTCTGTTTCTTCAAATTTTGTTACTTGTACCAGTTGCATCAACTATACCTAAGGAACAACGGATCTCCCAGGTATACAGGTTATTTTTGTGTTTACAACATGTTACTTTCTTGCAGTCACTCTCCTACTGTACCTTTTACCTTTTCTTTACATCGCATGTTGTACTGTTCTATTTTACTGAATACTCTATTGTTTGTCCTGTACTACACACTCTACTGTTATTCCATACACTGTACAACTTCAACATGCCTTTCGTAAAATGTTTAAAGAACCACAACCATAGGGCCGTCTGATTTGACATCATAATTTGCCACCCTAGAAAACCTATACCAGTCATGACAAGGAGCTTGGAGCTAACTTTGTGGGCAGCACAACCATCTTCAACAAAAGAACATGTCTTCCCTAGCTAAACCATTCCTAAGAGTTAAACAACCAAACCATAGGACTTAGGTTGTTTGTCTAGCGCAATATAAATCCTCACCTTATCTTTAGGCCTTTGCACAATCATGTTGTGCAATCTAAGCCCTAACTCACTTTAGCCCTAACTCACTTAAGCCCTAACTCACTTTAGGATTCCGAGGTTGTCATCCGTCATGACCTAAATCCTCACATCTTCCAGACTATTTGGGTGATCGTTTCACACAGTTCACACAGATGTAAACCCTAATTAAATAAAATTGGCAGGATGAAACACTTAAATAATTCTCCTCTAAACTGAAGCCAAACTGAAGCCAAACAATAAGATTGCTTGGGAAGTCACCGAGGTTCTCCTTCAGATCTGTAATATCACCTAGTTCTTCTGTTGAATTCTACAATGAATATTCCAAGTTTGAACCATTCCTCTTTGCACACCTCTTTGTCTTAAATTAGTCTTTTTCCGATTTCGTTAAAAAGTCCTATCCTTTTGACCTTATTGAAGATAATTTTTCTTGATTTTTATCGAGAGTATTCTTAAGTGATTTCGGTCATTTAAGATGTAATTAACCATATGTAATTAACCTTAAGATGTAATTAACCATAGGGGTTTGCCTTTATAGGAAGCTTTTCCGAACCCAGCTTAATATAAATCCTATTTAATTTTTTATATTAAATAGGGGAAATTGTCGGCAAATAAAACAATTTTTGCTGACCAAACAAACGTCATATATTTCTTAGTTTATTTGATCGAGCCTCATCCTCAAGCTCAAGTCTTTATTTGATCGAGCCTCATCCTCAAGTCTTGTGCTTATCCTTCGGGATAAATACAGGATTTGAGGTATAGTGCTCTTTCATTTTATGGGGTCAAAATATGGGGTTAGTTTGATTTCATATCTTTCTAAACTTAAATCTATATATAAATTAAAACGTCCTTCCGAAGCGGTCGACGGGATCTCGATTCCGGTGAACGATAGCTTCTTACGGGCAACTCCCCCAACCAAAATAGTGCCGACAAGGTTGCAAAATATAGTAATATTATAATACAATTTTAAATTTTATATATTTATATATCGTATTACAATTGCATTTTAAAATTTCACACACACACACACACAAACATACATATACATATATACATACATACATTACATATACACATATATATATATATATATATATATATAATCATATATATATATATGTACACGTATATTAGGTATATAGCTATATCTTGAAGAATTTAATATCAAATTTTAAATTTACAAATTCTGTTCTTGTTGTCACACACGTATCATATATTTATATTATTTTTATAATTTAAATCATATTAAATTAGTTTTAATATCTATCATATCATTTGGTTCTACCGCGGTACCTTTAAACCTTGAACCTCTCATTCTCCCAGTTTAATAGCTAATTCATTTTTCGCAACCTTAGTTGGTATATTTAAATATAAATTTTTATTTAAAATTTAGTCTTTTTTTTGGCTAACATCCAGATGTTATGTCTGTTGAACAACATTTATTTCTTAAGTTATCTCTGCCAGAAAAAATGACAAAGAAAAGAAAGATCATATTTATCATCTATAATTCTAAAAATAATACTTAATTTTAGGATATTATTAAACCCAAACAAATAGCATTTGATATAGAACTATTATATACCATAACAATATGTGCGTCCTTGATATAAACAACATCTGATGTGCTTGTTGCTGGAAACTTTTTCCATTCACCAAAATGAGAATTTTACAATCTTAACTTTCAAGTTGTTAGCATAAGTAAAAAAATGATTTCTTTTGGATGGATGGTTTTATATATTGTTCCTAAGATGCTTTATTTCTGCTACATTTTGAAATGAGGATGAAAAGTAAAATTCAAATCATGATGGATTACATTACATTTCTTCTGAATTCCACTCATCGTCGTCTCTATTTTTTATTTTAATGTTTACAAAGTTAAGGCCTATTGTGATTTTGCAAATTTACTCTTTTTCTTTCTTTTCACAATTCCAACGTTTATCTTTATAAAAGAGAGTGTACCAAGTTTATAGGCTTATTTCTAACAAGGGGTTTGGAGAGGAATAAATGCATGTAGCCTTATCTCTTATAGAGCTTTTTTTTCTTGTTATTCAAAACCATTATCCCTAAATCACATGAAATACAACCTAACTTGCGCTAGACCTCGCCCTTTTCCCTTGTCTTTGGTTTACATTACAGAGTTTTTTTTTTTTTTTCATAATTCAAACCCACTACCTCTAAATCACATGGAATACAAAGTATTGCACTAGACTTCGCCTTTTTCCCTTATCTTTGTCACTTTTGAATATTTTGGTCCTACTTGTTTCTTTTATCCTTCATTTTTATGGAAGCATAATGGTTATGTGATTATTATTTTTGTTCTTTTTTTACCAATTTTTTATTTTGCATGTAATGTTTTTCCATTTTGTTTGGAGAAAATCAAGTTTTCTCATGTTATTTTCATGTAATAAATATGTACTCTTATATTAGCCATTTTGGAGGATTTGGAATGCTGCTGGAAGTGATGGACGTGGAGTTATAGGTACATCAGTGATCTTACTGTTTGCTACAATTTCTAATCATTGTAGTCTGTAATCTAATTTCCACTTTAGGGGTATTGGAGGCAAATTTTATTGAACCCGCACATGACAAACAAGGGTTTGAGCGCACAACTGTGCTAAATAGGCTTGAAGCATGCTTGCTTCGTATCCAGAAAACTTATTGGTTTGTATCTTAATTTTTATTTGCTTTATTTTAAAAGCAACATGTTCATTATTCTTAGAGCTTCTTTGGGATAAATTTTGTTTTTTGTTTTGTTTTTAAAAACATATTTGTTTAGTGTATTTTTTATTTATTTTTATTTTTTGTTTCTAAAAATAAATTAACATATTATTGAAACCGTTTAAAACAATTTTTAGGTATTTCGAGTGTTTTAAAAAGAATCATATCCTGATAAAACATGTCAAACATATTTGATTTTAAACCAAAACATAAAAAAGAAAAAATAAAAATAAAAAATAGGAAATAAAATATTAAAATTATCTCAAATGGCCCCTAATTTTTTTTTCCTTGGACTATGTCGTTTAGGTTATCAAATTGTCAGAAGATAGGATATGCCCCAAGACGTCACAAGAAATCTATAAGCAACTCAGAAGATAATGGTAGGTATTGATAAAAATGTGCTAACTTTCACAATTGGCCAAATTCAAGATATAACTTTTTTCCTCGTTATTTTAGTTCTTTCTAACGTGTTATGATTATTGGTGATAGACGTTAAAGTTGTTACACAACTTTTAACTTATCCATTTTGATGCCTTATTTTAGCTCTAATAATAAAATTATTTTAATGTTTTTGAACAGAGACTTCTCCTGAAACTCCTCAACAATTGTGTACTAAACCTACAATCACCGAAGCTCATACTATTGTCCAATCACTAGATTCAATCAGGCACCAAAACTCTGGAAAGCTTTCTTTGCATTCTGATGATGCCAAAGAAAGCAGCAGTTCAATCAAGTTAGATGAATTGAGGAATTATGATAAGATGTTAGGAAAGGGTGATAAGTGCTCCGTTTCTTCAAGTAATTACTATGGATATGGGCAATCACAGACAGAATGCGAGCCTAATAAGCAACTTTTAGATGGGTATAAAGAGGTTGTTTGTTCATCTCTTTTATCATCTTTTGTACTAGATAATGGACTTCAACGAAGTCTGGTTTCTGTTGAAAGTTATATGAAAAATGTGTCCCTTCTGAGATCTTGCTCAATAGTAACCATTTATATTTCCTTTTTAAAGTGAAATCATCCACCATCTTTTGGTGCAATTATATGATTAATAGTAAAAGGACATGAGCTTGAAACATTTTGCTTGACTTGGTACCATTACACATATAAATGGGTAAAATATGTGGGGATGTTAGCTCGACAATATTTGTTATTTTATACTTATGAATTTTGCACAAAACCTTTAGAAAGAGATCTTTTATGCCAGAATTATTTTCTTCCTTTGTTCTTTGATTTGAAGAGTTTAAATTAGTCATGTGGGCTTAGAAACACTCTTTAGGTTGATTATTTTGTCTGTGCATCACGTACTTCTTGAATGCCTAAAAGAGTTTTTTCATCAACCAAAATTTTTAGATAAATAGTATTTTCTAACGTCTTCTTTGAAACATCAGTTAGATTGTATTTTCTATCATGCTCTTTGAATTCCTATTAGATTGTACATATATCCCAGTTTATTTACTGCATTCATGCAAGGTGTTCATCTTAGATTTGTTTTCCTATCAGAAAAATTGTGTTGATTCTTATTTGAATGGACTAAAACCTCAGGATTTGGGGATGCACGCCAAGTTATTGGCTGATCAGAATAAGGCCTTGAAGGAAAGGTGAGATAGCTATTAACACATTTAAGTTCTTCTCAAGGATATAAATATAATATCTATGCTTTTTGTAATTGCAGAATAGTTACAGTAGAAGGTAAGTTGTTGCACGATTTGAAGATGGCAATGGAGAAGAATAAACATCTACTTGAAAAAGTGAGTTAGAATGTCTTCTTGATCTCTACACACACGCACACACACACACATATATCTTGATTGGATTAACAAATGTGTAATAACAACTTACGACCATATTTTTATATTTGAGATGGTTTTCTCTCTAACCACGCTGCTTTATTTTTTGCCCTTGCATGTGCACTCTGGCATTGTGCTGCTCTTTAGTGTTAATTTTGGGAAGTTCACAGTACAACTGCTCCAGTTAGCTTAGTTAACTAAAAAATATTTATATTTCATGATTTTGCAGATAAGGTAGACATAATAGATGCATAAAGTTTTAGCTAGTTATTGACGTGGCAATTAGAGACAATATAGGTTTTTTGGATTTCATCTTCATCATCATTCCTACTGATAGTCTTGTCCAACTACTTTGGTAGATTTTAGGAAGCCCCATTCAATCCATTTGTATAGAGTGCCATAAACAAATGTTAACCGCACACTTTATAGACATGTTTTTGGTATATTCACTCTCAGCTTCATTGATTTGAAATTAGACTTGATTTTTGCGATTAAAATTCATTAGTTGGTGCTAAATTCTTTGAAATTAGACTTGATTTTTGCCATTAAAATTCATTAATTGGTGCTAAATTCTTGGTAAGTTAGATTTAGTTGCATTTAATTGTATAATTTACTTGTAAATATGACATTCATCAGGTTGAATTTTTGGAGAAAAGATTGAAGGATGCTGACAAGGAACAAGAAACTATTATTAACATATTTGTAGAAGAACGAGAGAGGAGGGATGCAGAAGAAGAGAAATGGAGGATTCGGTTAAAAGTATTTCTAAGAAAAGTTCATCCATTGGCACTCCTTTTTTCCTCTTACTATTATTATTTCCAGATGTTCTTATTAATACCATCTATCTGGCAGGTTGCCAATAACAGAATAAAGAATTTAGAGAATTTGGCGATGCATGGAGTAAAATCAGAACTGCAGTGACCGTAAAAGTGTTCAAAGTCTTACGGTGCTTGCGATCCATTTCACCATAGCAGAGTTTTGTTAACTGACTAGGAATACAATTCAACAGTATAGTCCATTTGCTTGGTTTCTTTACATTTATTTTATTTCTTACTTGTGGCTAACTTGAACTCAAAATTGGCTGCAGTTACCTTCGTAAATCTGCGTAGTGTTCCATTTGTGTAGATCTGGAAGCAAAGTAATTATACAATTTCAGTTCTTATTTCTGCCTCAATTATATCCCTCAAGGTTTAGTTTTGGATATTCTATATGAGATGAACGTTAACTTATTCAATGTAATATTTAAAGCAGCTAAGCAGCTAGAGGAAATTAATGCAGACAAGTATTTGGTTTTATGTATGATAATAAATCCCTACAGCTTGATACATAGTACCCTTTATATAGTCTGGCAAGGCCAATGTCGTAATTACAAGAGTATAGATGGGTGTTCTGGATGCGATTTGCAATTAGAATCCTACAATTATAATTTGAGGGATTTTTTTAACATGCATGTGAGGTTTTCTTGGCTTATATCCCCTTTCAGCTGACGATCATCTTGCTTGTGAGGTTTTGATGTTGAAAGGTTGAGATTGGTTTGGTAAGTATGTTGTCGACTTGATCTGCCGTCATGTGTTTGATTGCGAGCTTGTCGGTCTTGAGGTGATCCCTAATGAAGCGGTAGTTCATTTCAATGTGTTTTGTGGAGCTTGAAACTTATGTTGTTCACCAGTGATGGCGGTGGTGTTGTCCCGTTGGGTTGACTTCAAATTTTTGTAAAAGTCATCGGGGCCAAACAATTTATGTGATAGCTGTGGCCAGAGCATGGTACTCAACTCATAGTAGGTTGTTTTTCGTTTATTGAGATATGAGATTCGAGCCTAGATACTTAAAAACCTGAGGTGAAGTGACAATCATGAGAATTGTTGGCTAATGTGTGTCGAGATACACTTGAAGTTGTAATTTGCTTGGGTTGATGGGTAATCCGAGATGGGTGGTGCCTTGGAGGTAGCGCATGAGTCTTTTGAGAGATTATAGATGGTGGTTGTGAGGTTGCTGCCTGTGTTGGCTAAGGAGGTTGATGGTGAATGTATTGTCTATGCTTTCGTTCCTTTCTCTTCTTATTTTTTTTAAAGAAGTCACCAGCTCGTCTATCGTTGTACACTTTATTTTTCTGAATAAATCTCTCTTGAAGATCATATAAATGATCAGGAGAAGAGAGAAATCGGAAAAGACGATCATACGACAAAGATGACAAATAAGAGAAAAAACGTGGAGAGTCTACGTGCGATAAACCTCGTAAGAATATGTCAAGTATGTCCCAAATAATATCAGGCGGAGGTACCTTCAACCAGTATCCGCGAAATAGTATCGACGTAGATTACCCACATCCAGAGAGAGGTGTATGTGTCTGTTCTGGGGTCAACAACGCTCTCAAGCGGACATATTCCACTTGGTTAATTACATCTTCGGGGATACCCAATAATAGTCTCGATAAAAGGAATTTCAATTTATATTATCGTAAATATGGGGAAATCCATTAACAAAGAAAGGTTATTCTCTATGAGAATGCCCATATGCTTCAGAGCTCTGCGAAGTCATTTGGCGGAGAGTAAGTCTCTCACATTCGAAAATGGGTAGCGGCTCATCGACACACGACACCAATTGAATAACCAAAATCATCTTGATGGTTATATCCCAATACGTCAAAGCACGTCCGGGCCGTACGGGCAGAAGACAAGTGGTCGTATCCCAAAAAAACGATAGCTCATTGACATTGGGCCGTCAAGATGATACCAACAAAGTTAAGGAGCGACATGGCTCAAAGAGACTCAACAACAAGAAGATAAAACAATCCTAAAAGGTAGAAGTTGGGTCAGGGTACCACAGACCGGTCATCTCAAGCCACTAGGACCCTAAGTTTACCTGGTCGTGAAGGTAGTCGACCCAATAAGCCCAAAGATTCCCGGTCAGCAGTTCGTGAATTGCGTCGTCCACGGGGACCTCGGTAACCCTAAGGTTAAAAAAATGAAACTCTAGTCCTATGACTTATAAGGTTGGAGCTACAAGTGATAGGATTTATACTTCCGAAAAATGGCAACGATGCCTCAAGAAAGAGAGGTTCAACTATAAAGTTGTAAACACTCTTAACAAAAATACTTACACCCCACCTGGGTCGGGGAGCCTTCTAACACCCTAAGCGTACTGAACAACCTTCTATATAGAAAAAGTATGATGGGTTAATCGGGTTAGAGAAGCGCGGATGCTGCTCATCAGGACATGCAATGTGAATTCAATTATCTAGAGCAATCTTTACTTATTTTGGAGGCCTTATTAATATGACTTGAGTCATAGCCATGCAATGCAACTCGTTTAAAATCCTACCCGAAGGCCATGCAGGAAAATAAAAGTGTAATTTTTAAAATCTTAAATATTTTAATCATGAAACTCATTATCTTGACTATTTTATTATGATTATGTAGAAAAAATTTAGAATTTTAAATCCTAAAGAGCCTATATTATGTTCGTGACTCCCAGACAAAACACAAATAAACAATGAAAAGATTCCAAGTATTTATGCACGCAATAAGGTAAGAAACAAGCCAAATCAAAATAATATGAAAGGCTGGTGCCACTGGGTCGGCAATATATCTTAGAAAAGAAAAAGAGCAGTTGGACTCCACATATACATGCCCGATCCCAATTCTATACGTCAATATAAAATGCAGAATTAAGATACGAGGCATAAGCATCTGCTCCTGGTCATATCAACTACAGGACTCTGCTATGACTCTAAAAGATACATAAGAAGAAAAAGAGAAAAGGCTTCATGATACACCAAAAATATATGCATTTTTAGACCCATATTTTATACTCATTTGCACTTTAATGGAAGATATTTTCTATGTTTTATTGTAGGTTGTTGATTTTTAGGACTTGGAGAAAAAAAAAAGGAAAAAGAAAAGCAATAAGGATTGAATTTAGAGCAAAAATGAAGAAGTTAAAAATTTGTTCAGCGCCGACGGCGCCATTTGACAGAAACCTGGGATTTAATTACAGGCCTCTGGCGTCAGTGTTGGTAAAAGCACTGTTTTTATAAGATTCAACGAATTTGGACGCTTTTTGAATAGTTTTTGGCTGCACCTATTGGAGAACCGACCTAGGCTCTATTTATGGCTAAAATTTGATCAGAACCCCCCCCCTTCGCACATTTCAACTTCTTCCACTCATTTCAATTTTCCTCTTCACACACCTACATTCCACACCATTCCACACCATTCCACACCATTAGTAAGTTATTGTTTTTATAGTTTTGAGTTTTTGTGGTGAGTTTAAGTATGAATTCTTCTCTAAGAAGTGTTGGAGAGGAAGAGAAGTGAGGATTTCTTCTTCCTACATTTCTGAAGTGAGGCTACAAAGGATTTGCTTTGAAAAAGAGTTTCAGATAAGTGTTGTTTGCTTATTATTGTTGTACGAAATTTCTTTTATATATGAAATTTGTGTTTTGTTGTATCTTTCTCATGAAGTCTGAGTAGATTCCTTTATCTTTCTCCATACTCTGAGATATATTAAAATGAAGAGATAATATGAATGTGTCAATGTTAAAATTTAAAATAAATTATGATGACTTTTCAAATCTGCTTTTAATTTACTTTTTGATCTGATCAATTAAATTGTTAAAATATATTGTTAAAATTATGATCCGGGAAATGAAGTATGAGTTCTACAATAGAGTGAGAATCACATTTAAGTCCATCAAGGAGTATTTCGTTCATGAAATTAAGTGCAAATAAATAGAGAAATATACTTTGTTGGGTGTAGAATTGAAGATTTCTAGGGTGACAAACTAAAAATCCCCAATTCGATCTTAGTGTTTAAAAACTAAAGCGAGAGTTAGTTTTCAAGG